AAGCAGACTTCCCTCTTTGTAGGGAGCCCGATATGGGGCTTGATTTCAGGACCCCGGGATCATGACCTGAGCCGAAGGTAGACGCTTAACCGACTGAGCCACCCAGGTGCCCCTAAAGGAATCTTTTTTTTTTTTTTTTAAAGGTTTTATTTATTTATTTATTTGAGAGAGAGAGACTGAGAGAGAGAGCACATGAGAGGGGGGAGGGTCGGGAGGGTCAGAGGGAGAAGCAGACTCCCTGCCGAGCAGGGAGCCCGATGCGGGACTCGATCCAGGGACTCCAGGATCATGACCTGAGCCGAAGGCAGTCGCTTAACCAACTGAGCCACCCAGGCGCCCTAAAGGAATCTTTTTAAAGCAAATTTTATATCCATTTTCTCATTTTCTTTTTAAAATAGTGCAGCAGCTCCTGGGTGGCTCAACGCCTGGGATCGAGCCCCATGTTGGGCTCTGTCTGCTCAGCAGGGAGCCTGCTTCTCTCTCCGTCTGCGTGCCACTGCCTGCTTGTGTGCTCTCTTTCTCTGTCAAATGGATGAATAAAATCTTAATAAATAAATAAATAAAAAATAAAACAGTCCAGGTAGGCAAAAGATAAAATTACTTACATTTTTTAGATGAAGGGGATAGAGAGGTAGGGACTGACTGAAACTGTGATCTCAAGGACCATTTGTAGTACCTTTTTTGTTAAACCACTGTCTAGTTGGTCATGATCCCAGGACCCTGGGATTGAGTCCCACATCAGGCTCCCTGCTCAGTGGGGAGTCTGCTTCTCCCTCTCCCTCTCCCCCTCCCCCCTGCTTGTGCTCACTCTCTCAAATAAAATCCTTTTTTTTTTTTTTTTAAGATTTTTATTTATTTGAGAGACAGTGATAGCAAGAGAGAGCACACGAGTGGGGAGGAGAGGGAGAAGCAGGTTCCCCAGCGAGCAGGGAGCCCGATGTGGGACTTGATCCCAGGACCCCGGAATTAAGACCTGAGCTGAAGGCAGACGCTTAACCGATGGAGCCACCCAGGCGCCCCTCAAAAAGAATCTTTAAAACAAAACAAAACACTGTCTAGGTAACCAAATGACAATATTCCATTGAATTACTGATACACAAAGACCTATGATGAAATTAGAATAATTAAGAGCAACAACAGTATCCAGTGAGTTGGGGTTTGTTTAGGGGGCTGCCATAAAGAGATATCCTATTTATAGGGACTAAGGTCAGGAAGTAACACAGCAGAACTGCAAAATTAGGAAAGCCATAGCTAAAGGAAAACCTGGACCAACAAAGTATCTTTAAAAACCTGAGGGGCGCCTAGGTGGCTCAGTCGTTGGGGGTCTGCCTTCGGCTCGGGTTGTGATCCCAGGGTCCTGGGATCAAGCCCCACGTCGGGCTCGCTGCTCTTCAGGAGGCCTGCTTCTCCCTCTCCCACTCCCCCTGCTTGTGTTCCTGCTCTCACTGTCTCTCTCTCTCTCTCAAATAAATAAATAAATCTTAAAAACTTGAGCATGATCGACTTTGTGTAGCACATAGTGAATTTACAGAACTCTTAGTATTCGAGGATGTAGAAATACAGGTGTTTTTGAAAATCAGCAGAAATAATATATTTTTTTATTTTATTTTTATTTTAAAATTTTTTAAAGATTTTATTTATTTGACAGAAACACAGCGAGAGAGGGAACACAAGCAGGGGGAGAGGGAGAAGCAGGCTCCCCGCTGAGCAGAGAGCCCGATGTGGGGCTCGATCCCAGGACCCTGGGATCATGACCCAAGACGAAGTCAGACGCTTAACGACTGAGCCACCCAGGCGCCCCTATTTTTTTATTTTTAAAGATTATTTGAGAGAGTGAGCGAGAGAGAGAACACAAGCAGGGGGAGTGGCAGACTCCCCACTGAGCAGGGAGCCCGACTCTGAGCTCGATCCCAGGACCCTAAGATCATGATCTGAGCTGAAATCAAGAGTCAGGCACCTAACCGACTGAGCCACCCAGGTGCCCCAGTTTTCTTTTAAGTAATCTTTGTGCCTAATACAGGGCTTGAACTCATGGCTCTGAGATAAAGAGTCACATGGTCTACCAATTGAGCCAGACAGGCACCCCAGTATACGTAATTTTTTGAATGTCATAGATATACACAGTTATTAATAAAGTTTGAAAAAGGGGTGCCTGGATGGCTCAGTCGTTGGGCATCTGCCTTCAGCTCAGGTCATGATCCCAGGGTCCTGGGATCGAGCCCCGCCTCGGGCTCCCTGCTCAGTGGGAAGCCTGCTTCTCCCTCTACCCCTGCTTGTGTTCCCTCTGTTGCTGTGTCTCTCTCTGTCAAATAAATAAAATCTTAAAAAAAAAAAAAAAAAAGTTTGAAAAAGCTAATCTTGAAAGTGAATGTTAGAAGGCCAACAAGGACATTCCCTAATGGTGGAATCCTGGAACAGATGGAGTATCTGAGGATCCATAGCCCTAAGAACAAGGCAGAAGTTTTACTAAAATTTTTTTTTAAGATTTTATTTATTTATTTGACAGAGACACAGTGAGAGGGAACACAAGCAGGGGGAGTGGGAGAGGGAGAAGCAGGCTTCCCACTGAGCAGGGAGCCCGATGCTGGGCTCGATCACAGGACCCTGGATCATGACCCGAGCCAAAGGCAGACGCCTAAAGACTGAGCCACCCAGGTGCCCCAAGGCAGAAGTTTTATTTATTTATTTATTTATTTATTTATTTTTTAAGGCAGAAGTTTTAAACATTTGTCCTGTAATTCAGTGTAAACCAATCCCTATTCTTTTTATATCATGAAAGCAGAATTTCTTACCTTAATGCACAACTACACCTCAAAACTACCTGCCTTGACAGTCTGCTTCTACTTTACTTGTGCTTAATTTTGTTACAGAAAGCAATCATTAAAATTTCCCTTACCCGAGATTTAAAAAAATAGTCAAATATTGGGGCACCTGGGTGGCACAGTCGGTTAGGTGTCTGACTCTTGGTTTCGGCTCAGGCTGTGATTTCGGGGTTGTGAGATCAAGCCCCACATCGGGTTCTGTGCTCAGCAGGGAGTCTGCTTGAGATTTTCTCCCTCTTACCCTGCCCCCCTCACTCTGTATTCTCATGCTCTCTTTCTCTCTCTCAAATAAATCTTTAAAAAAAATAGTCAAGCATTATATTCAAACAGGTCTATGCCAAGTAACAAATGGATACTCGGAAATGATGTATGCACGCTGACAAGAAGTGCATTGGCATACTTTGTACAAAACGATGCTAGGGAGCTTACATACAACTAGATGATGTAAAATAGTGATTTCCAAGGAATTAGACACTAAGGGCCCTAGAAACTCTACTTCATTTTTTTTTTTTTAACAGGGCCCCAGAAGATTTTTTTTGTTTTTTAAGATTTTATTTATTTGACAGAGAGAGAATACAGGCAGGGGGAGCAGCAGAGGGAGAGGGAGCCCGATGCGTGGCCCAATCCCAGAATCGTGACTTGAGCCAAAGGCAGTTACTTAACCAGCTGAGCCACCCAGGCGCCGCATGTTTTGTTTTGTTTTTAAGATTTTATTCATCCATTTGACATAGAAAGAAGAGCACAAGCAGGGGGAAGGGTAGGCAGAGGGAGAAGGAGAAGCTAACTCCCTGCAGAGCAGGGAGCCCTACATGGGGCTTGATCCCAGGGCCCTGAGATCATGACCTGAGCCAAAGGTAGATGCTTAATGGACTGTGCCACCCAGGTGCTCCAGATTCTAGGTGTTTTTTGTTTTGTTTTGTTTTGTTTTCAGATTCTAGGTTTTGGTTAAAAATATGGTTTGGGGGAGGACTTAATCTTCATTGTGGTCAGATTATATATACAGTAATATTATAAATCTTGTAATTTTTTTTTTTGAAGATTTATTTATTTGACAGAGAGAGGCACAGCGAGAGAGGGAACACAAGCAGGGGGAGTGGGAGAGGGAGAAAGCAGGAAGCCCGATGTGGGGCTTGATCCCAGGATCCTGGGATCATGACCTGAGCCTAAGGCAGACGCTTAATGACTGAGCCACCCAGGCACCCCTAAATCTTGTAATTTAACAAAGATTTCTTTATACAAAGTACTCATAGAAACCTAAACAAAAGATGGTTTTTAATTGTTCTATGTATATAGTCATATTCGTAAAGTAAGTATACTAATCAAAAGCTGTACAACAGAGAAACATTAATAGTGAAGCCGGATGCAAATAAAGATATTCCTCTGAATTCCATTTTTTGGTTTTTTTAATTTTATTTATTTGAGAGAGAGAGAGATAGTGAGAGAGGGAGCCCGACGTGGGTCTTGATCCCAGGATCCCGGGATTGTGACCTGAGCCAAAGGCAGACGCTTAACTGAGCCACCAGGCGCCCCTGAATTCCATGTTTCATCAGGCATCAGAAACCACCTATCTTTTAGTCTTTTTCTTTTTTTAATTGCTGTATAGTTGATGTGTTAGTTTCAGGTTTCCAACATTTGATAATTATGTACATTACAAAATGCTCACCACCGGCAGTGCAGTTACCATGTGTTCCACATAAAATTATATTATTGACTATATTCCCTATGCTATACTTTTCATCCCCATGATCTACTCATTTTATAACTGGAAGTTTGTACCTCTTCACTTAGTTCTCTCATCCCATCCCCCCACCTCCCTCCCCTTTGGCAACCACCAGTTTGTTCTTTGTGTTTATAAGTCTGTTTCTTTTTATTCTTTTTCTTATACATTATTCGGTATCCACATCTTCTGCATCTGATTGGATCCCTGAATTTTATTTTCACTGTGACATTCTCCAGAGATCTAGATCGTTGGCTGCCACTTTGAGGGTTGACCATCCTGGGTATCCACTGTCAGTCCCCACGTAGCACAGAGAAACTTCTCACTATGTGCTTCCAGACAGATTTTCACTTGTCACTGTCCTTCCCATCCTTTTATGCAAAGGATATGCAGGGTCCCTGTTCACATGGACCACAGTGTCACCCTGACTCTCCTCCTTGCCCTGGCATTTGAACCCACAGCATTGCTCTAAGCAACTGGTGGTTTGTGGCCCATCTGACAGACCTGCTGGATCACTGCAAGCTCCTCCAGTCGCACAACCTCTAGTAAGTGTGTGGCAGCCGTGCCAGCTGTCAGGGGCGGGGCTGCGGGAGGGCCCCGAATGGAGCAGGCCAGGGGTTTTGGTCTCCTCTTATGTTCTATTCCAGCTTCGGATCTAACATGAGAGAGTTCCTCCTGTTGGAATATGCCTCGGGACTGTTTGCTCATCACAGGTAGGAAGGCCCCAAGGGTGTGAGGCGGCGGCACGGTGTTTTTCAGCATGCAAGTACCCCTGATCTTGGATTATGTTCTTGCTTGTCTGGATCCCTGAGGGCTACAGGGGTCTAGGGGAGGGGCCATCGTGGTACCAGGCCCCAAGCTGCAGGGCAGCACGTGGGCTCACCAGACTCTCCTCTGTCTGTCCTTGGACGGTTGCAGCCTGTGGCAGCTGGGAGTGGATTACTTTGACTACTGCCCTGAGCTGGGCCGAGTTTCCTTGGAGCTGCACATTGAGCGGATCCCCCTGAGCACTGAGCAGAAAGCCCTTAAAGTGCTGCGGATCTGTGAGCAGCGGCAGATGACTGAGCAAGGTGAGCCCGCCCTCCCCCGGCATACTTCCTGCTCACGCTGCGTCAGCCGGACTGGAGAGAGGCCGGGCAGCGGGTCCCAAGAGATAAGCCCAAACAGGAAAATTCTTGAGGAAGGACAAACAGCTAGGGATCCATCAGGACTTAGAAGCCGTGGAGCGCACTGCCTCCAAAAAAGACCCTGACCCACGTCCTCTCTTCTACTTACTCTAGGAAGGTCAGGACTGGGGTCAGCTTGGAATTTACTTCTGCCAGGTGGGTTGCTGTTGCTAGCTAAGGCTGGCTCAGTGGGGAAGCAGGACCAGAGGCAGCTCAGGGAGAGCACAGAAAGAAAGCAGTGATATTTGCCCTTTCTCCCTTCACTGTTGAGTGATAAAAACCTAAGTTGTTCTGTCCAGAGTCAGTTGCTTGCTTATGACCATCTCTGAAAGCATAGGGCAATTCAAGACCCAAAGGATGTTTTTTGGCACCTGGACAGATAATGAAGAAGCCGATCTGGGGAGCAATAAAATCTTTTTGCCGTCCCTGAAATCAAACCCAGCCACAAAGCCAATCCTGTCAGGGTGGGTCCTGGTGTAATAGAGCCAGGAGACAATCCGTAAACCCCAAAGTCCCCGGTGTTGCCAGCCAAGTCGTATTTGGAGCCTGTGGAGAGGCTGCAGAAAGCTCAGGGGAGGTGGGAAGCCTGCTCCTCTCTGGCAGAGTTCAGAAACGGCCTGACTGGAAGAGTGAAAAGTTCGCCTTTTCTCTTTTTCCCTGCCAAGTTCGCAGCATTTGTAAGATCTTAGCCATGAAAGCTGTCCGCAACAATCGCCTGGGCTCTGCGCTGTCTTGGAGCATCCGAGCCAAAGATGCTGCCTTTGCCACGCTGGTGTCAGACAGGTGGGTTCGACTGCTCCTGGCTTTCTGGGGACTGGCTAGGAAGTTGGGAGGCTGAGGAAGGAGTCCGGGACCCCTGCTCAGACCTCTGGGCCTGGCCTTGCAGGTTCCTCAAGGATTACTGTGAGCGAGGCTCCTTTTCTGATCTGGATCTCATTGACAACCTAGGGCCAGCCATGATGCTCAGTGATCGACTGACCTTCTTGGGTGAGTCTCTGGGCTCTCAGCCCCAGACCTTTGGCATAGTGGTGGGTTGTGCAGATGGGACGGACTGATCGAGGCTTCTCCAGTGTTCCCTCCTGTTGAGCCCAAACTCCTAGAACCATGTGTGCCAGACTCTGCAAAGCATATTTTCTAACATTTCCCAGTAATTTCAAACTTAAGAGAAAGGTGCAAAAGCAGTATAAGGACTAAGGAACTCCCATGTACACTTTCTCCAAATTTACCATTTTTATTTTGCCTCGTTTATTATTCTGTCAGGTTTTTGGGGAAAAATCTGAAAGTAAGTTGGAGACTTTGTTCCCCTTTCTTCATAAATACTTGAGCATGTGTTTCCTAAGAACAAGAAGATCATCTTAGAGACCCAGCCTCCGAATGTACTACTCTCATCAGATCTGCAGTCCATGTTCTGGTTGCATCAGCTGTCCCAGTGGTGTCTTTTATCGTGTCCACACTCACAGATTCAGTTTTCCTGTCTCTTTAGTGCCTCTGTCTCTCTCGGTGCTTGTGCACCTTGACTTTTTTTTTTTTTTTAAGATTTTATTTGACAGCGCGCACAAGCGGGGGAAGAGGGAGAAGTAGGCTCCCCGCTGAGCAGAGCGCCCGATGTGGGGCTCGATCCCAGGACCCTGGGATCATGACCTGAGCCGAAGGCAGATGTGTAACTGACCGAGCCACCCAGGCGCCGCTTACAGAATGCTCTCTTACAGAATGTCGTCAGTTTGGGTTTATCTCCTGTGTCCTCATGATCAGATTGAGACTTATGGGTTCTTCAGTCTGTTACAGTCCAGATCTCTTGTTTGGTTTGATAGTTACATTCTCCCAGGTTTGGCTCTTTGGAACCCCTTCAAAATGTGTTTTTTTCAACCCTGTTGGTCTCATTGGTCCCTGAGTTTGGAGACAGTTCTGGAAGAATCTCCCTGCTTTGGAGTGGCTGGTCTGGGGTGTCTCTTGTCTTGTTTCGGGCCAGAGGTGACCTAGTGCTCTGTTTCTCAATAGGAAAATACCGCGAGTTCCACCGATTTTACGGGGAGAAGCGTCTTACTGATGCAGCTTCTCTTCTCCTGTCACTGATGACTTCCCAGATTGCCCCGCGGTCTTTCTGGGTAATACTACTAATAGACGCCCTGCCCCTTTTGGAAGAGAAAGAGGTACAGTTTGAATTCAGAATGATTTTCATCTCTGTTTTGTAGTCCCTGACTGTGCTTCATTCCGTAGCTGTTGTAGATGCACATCCATAAGTCATCTCCCAAGTAGGGCCCTGCAGGCCCTGCACGTATGTGTGGATTCCCCCATAATGCCCACTCTGGAAATTCAGTATCTACACAAGAAAAGCTACTTAATTTGAAAGGAGGCAGCTGTCTGCGGACAGTATTCAGCCTGGGCCCCTGACGAGACGGGCTGGGAATGAGCACAGGGGCTCTCTGGCCTCCCAGGGTTGCATATACAGAGCCCACTCCTTCAGAGGGCACATACGGAAGGCCAGCTCTGAACCTGGGCGCATGTCCGAACCAGTGCAGCCCTTGGCTGGGGAGCAGCTAAGCAAAGCAGCCTCTCCTCTCTCTCCTAGGTGGTTTTTTCAGCAGAGCAAACATATGAGTTGATGAGATGTCTAGAGGACTTCGCCTCAAGAAGGCCAGTGTGGAGAGAGCCTGGCGTTCAGCGACTCCAGGTTATTTTAGCTTTCAGATTGTTGATTCCATAATGGCGATGAGAAAAGGCTCCTATCTTGGACTCCCCTGCTTCCCTCCAGAAACGCTGGCCCCTTACAAACTTAATGCTTCTTGAGTTACTTCTTAACCTGTAATTGACACACCCAACTTCTTTTAGGATGAAGCTGGGCGGTTCTAGGTGTTCTGATCTCTACTTTTCTGGCACTTGGTCGCAGTGGGCCTTTGCATGCGGTTCTCGTATCAACTTGCTGGAAGCTACTACTAAATGTTAAATGCCTTCGGTCTGCCTTTGGGTCAGATAGAGCCTTGCAGAGCTTTAAAGAAGGAACACTTCCTGCTGTACCTCATGCTGGCTCTCTTTGCTTTTAGGAGGATGTTGAGAACACCAAGTTGGAAATGCTGAGACTTGCTCTTGCACGAAATCTTGGCCGGGCCATTATAAAAGAAGGCTCATTGGAAGGCTCCTGAGACCAGCCGAGAGCTGCTTCAGGGTGGCACCTTTGTATGGCAATGTTTATATATTTCTGAAAATAAATTTTCCCCCCCAAATAGAAGGCAAGTTCTTAGAGTCCAGCTAGAGAGTTTTCCCTGCTTCTCCTGTGAACTTGAGGTGGTAGAAATTGAGAACGTGCTTGTTATGTTTTCCTTGGATGGGACTGGTTTCCCTGTCTCCCAAGAGAAAAAGCCACTCCTAGAAGTTAGGATGGTGAGTGCAGTGCCCTCCTTCCCATTAGAAATGCAAACAAGAGTGGTCAGTGGTTTACGTATGCTTCTGAAATCTAGCCTTTAGAATCAACTGGAACATTTATCCGTTTTTTCCTTTAGAAAAGGGAAAGGTCCAGGAACCTGTACTTTCATCAACAAAAACCTCAGGTGATGCCAGGGTATCTGTCTACATTTGGAATTTGTAAGTGGCACTTTGCCCACAGTGGGGTGGATGGTGTCTGTATTAGGATTCCAAGTAGGGCAGAAATGATTTTATTTAACATGCAGCAAAACAAGGGCAGCAGAGTTGGTATACCGCATACAGCCATTTGTCACAAAGCAGTGACCTCAGTAGTAACACTCAGATAATTTTAATGTCTAAAGCTTATTATAAAGGTGTATTTCCATATAGTAATCCCACAAACCTTCCCAGGGCTGCAAGCAGCCGGTCTCTGGAAAGCTCTTGGATTTCTTCCTAAGTAGTGAAACTGATTCACTGTTGACCTAATGAAGCAGTGAAACCTGCTTGCTCGAGATGGAGGGGGAAGGGCTAGAGTAAGGAAACCTGGCGAAGTGCGGGGAGGGATTAGGGAGTGTGGTCTGTGCCACCTTTCGCCAGAGGTGGCTCAGTGCCATCCAGCTGAGGTGAGCCGTGTGCCCTTTCCTCAGCTGGTGATTCTCACTTGCCTGGTGCCCTGTGAGGCCTAGAGTCCCTGGCCCAGTTGTACCTGGTGGATGGAGCAACTGGGACAAGCTTTTTGGAGCTGAGCACTGTCGAAGCAATAGGGTCTGGTGACTCGATTCAGGCATGGCCCCTAATCTCACCACCTCCAGACCCCGTGTCTCACTGGCCGTGCCCCTCAGCAGCTGGGGATAGTCAAGGTTCCTGGGCAGCAGGTAAGGCTAGAAGTCTAGTGCAATCTGCCTGACGCTGAGGCCTCCAGTTCCCGAACATACGCCACACCACAGGCCACCTTGTGGGAAGAGGGGGAGGCCCAAGCAGGAGGACGCAAAGGGTGATGGGAGTTGTTCTCCCCTTCAGAGACTCGAAGGGCAGAAGAGCAGTTTATTTCATGCCAAGCAAGAGGTAGTGAGTAGGATGGCCTGTTCCCAAGGCAGGAGGCACACTTTCCCCAGAAAGCTACGAGTACCTGCTTCCAGAGAAGGGAAAATAATGGTTCTCTTCCATTTTCTTTCATATCCCTGGTTTTGACTGCCACAAGGCCAAGTTCTGTTTCTAACAGGCTAGTTCCCCATCCTGCTGAGATGTCCATAGGACACAGGCTGCCACCACCAGAGACAAGCACGCAACTCCTCACCCAGCGGCCGTTCCAGGATGCTGCTGCCCACGGAAGGCAGAGTTGGAGATTGAGCAGTACACAGACTTACTCAATGCCCAGGGCTGTTCAGGAGCCCTGGGCTTTGCCTACCTCCCTGGAGGTGGGAGCAGGAGCCTGCCAGCAGGGGAAGCAGAGAGTAGTGATGGGGGGCTGAGGCCTCCAGGGGTGTGAGGATGTGGTCCTTGAGGGCGAGTCCCAAGTCTCTTTAGAGACCTCCCCCCCCATGGCATCAGAATGCCAGCATGAGGGGAAAAGCCTGCTCCCGCCTTGGGTCCATGTTCCCAGGGCCATAGTGCAGAGTCTGGGGCCACTCCCCACCCCTGACAGTACATGGCCAGTTCAAGTCACACAGGTAGACAAAAATCAGGTCCTTTTAGGGGGCCAAGGGAGAGCGCATCACAGCAGAGCTCGGCTCCCAGCAGCGATGCCCACAGCCCGTTCCATATCCAAGCTCCAAGCACTGCAGTCAGGACGTGGAGGATGACTGGACCAGGGAGCCCTCCTGTCTTGTGGCAGCCTGCCTGGGCTTCAGTGTGGTGACACGGAGTCCTCTGGGGTCATAGGTTACCCCACTGCTCCACGGGAGGGAACTGGTCCACCTCGCCCACCTCTGTGCTCAGCTGCTCTCCCAGGGCAAAGGTCAGCCTATACCGAAGCCTTGCCTTCTCCTGTGACGGAGGGGGCAGCGTATTAAGGTGTGGCCTTGGGGCCCTTTCCGTGCCACTACCACCACCCCGTCCGCATTCAGCCACTCAACCCCAGCAGGGAAGGGACGCTGCAAGTGCTGCAGGACCATGGCACCTCCGGCGGGGAGGCCGAGGGGCCTGATTGGGGGCGGCCGGGGCCTCAGCTCGGAGCCCGGTGCTCGCTCACCTTCAGCGGGTTGGCCAGCAGCATGACCTGGGTGATGGCTGCGGGCGGCTGGACGGGGCTAAATGGAGACAGCTCTGTCCCAGAGGGTGGCTGTAACTTCACCTTCATCGACTGAAGAGAAAGAGAAGCTCCTTTGAAGAGAGATGGCAGGTGCCCCTGAGCGGAAGCCCACTAGAATCACGATGGACACATGCTGCTGCCTGCTGGCCTCGGGGTCCCTCAACACAGTGGGGCTCAAGAGGAGGTACCCTCTGCCTCCAGAGGCCTCAGGAAGCCAGGGGTACCTTCGGCACTGCGGCCTGCAGCACGATGCTCTTGATAGGCAAGGGAGCCGTATTCAGCATGGATACCACCACCACCAGCACGTCAGGCCGTCCAGGTGGACACTCCTTGGCAAAGTGGAAGAGGATGCGGAAGCCATTTTTATCATAGGCTGTCACAGGAAGGGCGCTGCCTGCAGGAAGAGGTCAGGTGGGTGTGGAAGGAGAAACCCCACAGAGCCCGGAGGGGAGGGCGGGGCGACCCTGTGGCCAGCAGGCTCCCTGAAAGAAGCTGGCAAAGAATCTGTCAGGACCACCCATGACTGCACAGTGGCAACTAGCGGAGGCCGAGACCGCAGGAAAGCCGGTCACATTTGGCTCTAGGGACCTGGGCAAGGACAGCCTGGGCCCACCCCTCACTACCCATATCACTGCAAGCTGTGGGCCCCGCCTCACCCTCCCACCCCAAGCTTCCCACACCTACTAGGCTTGATAGATTCCAGGGGGACGTGGACACTGGCCAGGGAGAGCTCTGGCCCCTTCATGGGGCTGCCCTGGGACTGGAAGGCAGGCGGCTGGAAGAGAGGGCTGCCAGGCCCTGGGGAGAAGGGGAGGAGAGGCCTAGCAGTGGTGCTGGTGGGGATCAGAGGGGAGGTGGTGGCCCCAGGGAAGAAGATGGAAGAGACGGGTTTCACCAGGCCTGAGGTCCTGAGAGGCAGGAAGGAGGACAAGGTAAGTCAGAGATCAGGGGATGCTGCGGGGCCAACCCACACGTCCTCCATGGCACGGCTGGTTCTTACTACCACCCCCACCCGTTTCCAGATTCTAACATCAGTAGAGCAAAAAGGAACACCCCAGGCCCTCCGGAGCTGCCTCCGGTTCTGCCAAGCCCAGGCCCAACCCTCCGCACCCTCACATTTCCCACTCATTACACTCTGGTCTCTTCAAGAAGATGATCAAGGGCATCCAGCTGGTGGAGGGTGCTATCGCCCAAAGCTGAGCCATGGTACCCGAGGGCTGTGGACTCAGCCTTTGGGGCCGGGGCCAGTCCAGTCGGGAACAAGAAGGAGCCTGCTTTGGGTGCAGGAACACTGGCTGGAACCACGGGAGCTGGGAAGGGAGAAGGCAGCGGGGCCTGGGAGCTGCCTGCAGAGGGTGCTGAGGGCGGGACAAGAGGCCCATCTGAGGGGCTGCAGGCAGCACTCCCAGGCTTGGGGCTGCAGAAGTCCAGGTCCGACTGCTCGTTCTGTTAGGAGGGGAAAGTGTGAGTGAGCAAAGGGCAGGAAGGAGCTGTTGTAGTTGGTGGGTTTCAGGTCTCCAGCTCTGGCCCTCTTGGCTGGGGGGCCCACTAGGACCCCACTGGACTAGCAGCTCACTGCCCCGGGCCTGCCGTTGGGTGGGATCCGTGTTCTCGAGCGCACCTGGGGCAGTGCTGGGGCGAGTAAGGACCGCCAAGACCACAGCCAACCGCAGTAGAGAACGAGCTGGGAAAGAGGAAGCCCGTGAAACTGGCCGAACATTTCAGTGATGCCCATACCTGGAACAGGGGCCACTGGCTGTTTGCAGCGGACTCTCTGGGAGGAGCAGTGGGCGCTGGGTCAGTGAGGCCTGAAAAGAGAGAAGACGATGGTGACGAGAAGGGACTCTGGCCTTGGGCAGCCCCACTGACTCTAGAAGGGTCACATGACGAAAGTCGCTGACGAAAGGGTGACAGGTGGGGACAAGGTGTTTTTTCAGGCAGCCTCCAAAGGGACAGGGGGCAGAACAAGACGCTCAGTCCACCATGTCCGTTCCGGAGTTTGTGCACACTGCCCTGGGAGCCTGAGGGCACGGAACGGACTCTTTATACCGAAGTCCCCTTTCCCACCCCTGCTAAGTACATGGGGCACCCCAGGGCCCTCTTCCCCATTCCACACGCCCTTCTGCTTTGCTGACCCTACCAGGAGAAGCCCTTCACAGCCTCGCTCCAGGACGCACCCAAGCAGAGCAGCTCCTCGTCCAGCAAGCAGAGGGCGTTGCTTGTGCTGCTGGGTCCCGGGGGGGCCTCAGCCTGGCTGGATGAGTGGCTGCGCCCAGGTCCTGAGGTCTGGGGGGGTGGGGGGAGAACAGGGATGCCAGAGGACGGTGGGGCAGGGGCTGGGGCCAACACTGAGGATGAGCTGCTTGGTGTGTCCAACTCAGCAAGGTCGATGAGAGTGCCTTGGTTCCTAGAGCGGTTTCCTGGAGGGGCGAATGGAAGGCGACACGAATGATTAGGGGCCACTCTAGTGGCTGCACAGCAGGAAGCAGAACCCTGAGTACATCGTCCAGCCTAACTAACACTGAAGAAAAGCAAGCAAAGAAAACCCTACCGATGGCTCCTG